AAAAGCAGTTAACAAGCAATTTCCAAAAGTGATCAGAAAAGGAAGTATGCAAACTTAGTGTCCTTTCAAAGGCACCGACTGCTGTTTGAGCAAGATGCCTATTCCCTCATCTCCCAGAGCTCCAAACCTGCTGGATACACAAGGAGCAACTGTCTGGAGCACTTGTGGGCGATCTCAAGTTCTCTCCTTGTCCAGAGGGGAATTATGAAGAGCCAGTCCACTCACTGGCTCTTCGTTCCACCACAATCATCAGCTCCATTTTTTTTGCAGACCTATCTTCAGTCCGCCATTTCTTCCTGGAAGTCCTGAGATAAAATCCATACATTTGAAGGGTACTCTTCAATCTGAGCTACCAAGCTGCTATAGAGCTAGCACTTATGAGCAATGCACCCAAGAAACAGGTCTGTACTACCTCTTTTTGAAACATTAAAGCAGCCCTTTTCCCAGCTCAAAAGCTGGTTGTGGTGGTCTCCACAAGCCTGTCTATGCAGAACTGCTTTTGCAGCTTTGATATAAAAAGAGGTGCTTCAGATGAATTCTCACACTGAAAAGCACCTTTTATGATGGAGTTGCACAGCCTTACTACAGAAAAAAGCAGATCCTTCTATAGAAAATGAAATTTTGGCACGTACAACTTTTCTTATTCTATCATAGGACAGTGTGGGCTGGTTGAATTTCTCTCTTTTACCTGCTAACTGCCGCTACAGTGCTGCCAGAGGAGGCTTGTATTGTACAAGCACCATGCTTTAAATTTACATGGAGATCAGATGTAAGCTTTAAATATTTCTCTCCATAGAAGGAAGAGGAGGAGGGGGAGGGGGAGGAGGATACACTGAAGAGAATGACTTCTTGTTTGGTGGTGCTAGGATTCCACATCTGGAAACCCCTTAACCAATATGGCTCCCAACCTGCTTATCAACACTCAAAAGTTGCTATACTTTTAAATGGCATCTTAATTGGCAGGTGCCAGCAAGTCAATAAATCTGCTCTTTTATATAGTACTAAGGAGAAATTTCACCTCCTTTTGCTGCACTTTAAACATGGACTTGAGAAGTGTGCTTTAAGGGTGGGCTGGGATTGGCATACAGCTTTCCAATATTATTTCACAAATTAAGTAAAACGAATGGGGATTTTAAGAAGAAGATGTTACAGAATGTTACAAAGCATTAGAACAACTGCCAGCTCTCTGTACAATACTTATTCCTTCATTCACTGTTTATTTTGTCTCACACATTTGTTGCTAAATGGCAGTTTATATTTACAGCCCACTTTCTGTCCAATTCTTAACAAAGCTGGAGTCCTATTCTAAAAGGGTTACAGCTTTGTGGCTTCCCAGAACTGTTCATCAGGTATGATAATGAAAAAGCCAGGGGGAAAAAAAACAGGAAGTAAAAAAAGTGTGGCAGACATTCAGGCTCTGACATTTGTGGGTCATGTTTTCAGCTGGAGTGAAGAACTGCCAAACACGCAAACTGAAGAGTGTCAGGTACTGGCATAGCGAGAGGTTGCACCAGGGACTGCAAAGAGTGTTGGAAAAAGAGACAAATGGCTCCTATTTCTGGTCTGAATATTCATCCCCACAAAACTGATTTCTTTCAGTCGAGCTGAGATAAAGGCAAGAGAGTAGATCTCTTTTCTCTGATAGCTGCAACTGAAGAATAGCCTTCACTAACTTGGTAGGCTCCGGATATGGTGGGACTTCAAATCCCAGAATGCCTAGCCACCATGGCCAAAGGCCTTAGCCTTGAGACATCTCAAGGGACAATTAGACTATGGGCATATGATATCTAGGCCCTGGTGGAAAACACATTGCTTACTTTCAATTTCTCTGGTTAAAGGTGTTTTCTTGTAAATTTCATTGCCGTTTTTCGAGGGGAGGAAGTAATATTTTGTTTCCTCTTCAACTATCTTCCAAGGCTTGGTTAAAATATCTTGATTTTTAAATTATTTCCTAGAATTAAGGAGGCAGGGAACAATCTACATACATTCCAGCACTGTTAGTCAGTTATCTAGCAGGCAGTACTTGTCCTCCAGTTATCAAGATATCAGGGAAATGAAACCATAGAGGTTGCTTGCCACGATGAAACAATGAAGAGTAACTTTAGTTAGCAGCTCTTCATTTTCAGATTGCTCATGCCATTAACAAACATATTGTAAAAGAGCAGATGAAGCTTGCCTATTACTTTTAATTACCAGGTTACTAGTTAAATTTTAGTGTGACATTGTTTTAAGAGCTCACTGACAGACAGTAGTTTTGAAAAGAAAGGTCTAATTTCCCCCGTTTCTGATACTTAACATTTTCAAAGTACTTAGTAATCAGCTAGGACTTTAAAATGCAGTCATTCTTTGCTCATTGTTTTTCCTCCAGGAGTCTGTGAGAAGAACAGAGGAGAAGATATTATCAAATCATGTTTAAACCACTTTGTAGGAATGGAAAGTGAAAACAGTAGCAATGTGGAAATTCCTTAAATGTGCAAAAAAAATAAACATTCCTTTGCAGATGAAATAGGTGTTTTATATTTTATCGTCAAAGGACCCTACTGTTTGTAAGCTTGGGTCAAATTACAGGTCCACAGTCTTCTTCCAATATATGCATTTATAGTAGCATCCACATACAGCCTTTTCTTTGGGAGCTCAAGGCAGTACAGAGAGTCTGGCCAAACTAGGTGTCATCCAAGAGTCAGCAGCAATGTCTTCTAGATGTTTGGGCCACAGCTGCCGTGCGTGATCTTTTGCTGTTAGCCATGCTGGCTAGGTATTCAACCTCTGAATGACATCAACTTGTCCTCCCCCAAAGACTGACTAAACACAGACTCAACCTCAGATGCTGGACTTTTGGAAAACTCCAAAGCTTGAACACTTTTCCTTTATGGAAGCTTCTGAATTGCCACACACATGGTATTACTCTCATAGGAGCTTTTGTCTGTATTGCTAACTCTAATTATCTAAGTACTCATTACAACAGCCCTGTAAAGTTGACCAATGATGTTTATGCCCAGTCTGCAAATGATGGATAAGCTACAGCTGGGAGGATCTCAATGAAGTTTGTGCTGGCTTGAAGTGATGTTTGACCTACAGACATCCATGTAAACCTTTCAGAAATCTTTCAGTGTTTAGACCGCATACATGGATTCTTCTTTATCAATTCCCTTGGCAGAAAGGAGAAGAGGGGATCCTAATATCTCAATTTTATGATAAAACGACTAAGGGTGGTTTCTTTCGTTTTCTTTTTCTTTCTTTCCTAATTCGCGTTCTCCTTCGGACACAGATGCAAATGCGCCCCAGAGACAGGAGCGTCTCCTGTAATTCCTTCGCGGGACGTTTGCTCTCAGAGAAAACTCAGATCCCTGCAGGAAGCTGGTGGGAGGAGGGGCAATTTCAACGAGCATCGGGCTTCCTGGGGTGGGAGATCCACTTTCACTTTTCCTGCTCGGTTTCAGGGATTTTCCATCCAGGAATTTCCAGGGACCGCTTTCTTTCCCACAGTCCTACTCCCCCTCTCCGTCCCCTCCTGCCCTCCCCCGTCCCTTCTCTTTATAAAACGAAAGAGATGGGGGTCCGGAATACACCACTTTCCCCTTCACTTTTAGGTGCTTCTTGGAGGTCCCGGGCAAGGCAGATTCGGGAAGCCTCCTTCCTCAGCCCGCTCAAGTTTTGCCTCAACTGGACCCAAACCATCGCGACCAATGGCCGCGGTGACTTCAGCAGCGCTTTTGCTACTCCTGTTCTTCACCAATGGTGAGTTTGAAGTTTGTTGCTCGTGCCCTGGGGGGAAGGTGTGTGTTCTGTTTTGTCTTTTTAAGCATTCGAAATAAAAATAAACAGAGAATATATTTGCTCCAAGATCAGATGTATTTTTTTTAAAAAGGTGTTGCAGGTGAGTGGGCCATTTTATAAACATCTTTATACATCTTTCAAATCTGTACATGTAAAAAGATTTCTTAAAAATAAGAATGCCGTCTAAGCACACTTACTGTAAGCAAATCCCACTGAATGCTGCTGGATTTACATCTGAGTAAGTATGCATAGACCTTGCGCTGTTAGCAGACCCACATCCATATGAATTCAGAAATAGCAGTGCAGCCTTATGAATGTTAACTCCAAAATAACACCCACTGGATTCAGCAAGACTTCTTCCTAACTAAGGGTGTATGGGATTGTCATTCTAAAACCTTAATCTATAGATGATGCAATCTTCCCATAAAGGGATGATTAAGTGAAAGGTTAATTACATAACTCTATCTAATGATATACTTAAGCAAGTGTCTTTTAAACTAAACTTTTACACTTTAATGCTCTAATTTGAGCAATATTTAGATTGTCATTTCAGTGGTAGATAGTTCAAATTATTTGTGCTGAGAACTTGAACTTTTGGCTAAGCCACACTTACTAAAAGGCAGGATTATTTCCATGTACAGAATGCACGTATAGTTCAATCTTCATCCTACTTAATTTAGATACCAGTCATGACTGAAACTCATCAGAATCAATGGTGTGATAGTGTAATTGTGTGCATATCTATTTAGAAATGGTCCCACTGAATTCAGTAGATGTTCCAGATCAGTGGTTATAAGATTGGAGTTTTAGAGACATCATTAATTTTTCAGCCTGGGCCCAGAATGTGAGATTAGTATCACCATGACTATAGAACTGGATAACAATCCCTAGCTGCTTTTTTTCGGTATGCTGCATCAGAGTCTGGATTATTTCAGTGATTCCACATTCAAATAAGGTGCAGCATGATAAATTATGAATGTTCCTTCTCCTGGCCTGGGTGCTTAGAAGTGCTGTTCCTCTGTCATCCACAAAAGGGCTTACATGCACACTATATGTACACTGCTATTTGGTACACCAAATTCTTGTGTGTTGTGATGCATCTGCATTCCACAGAAAATATATTTGATCATATTTGCTGCTTTAATGCTGATTTTTTTTTACTGTGGATCCAAACATTCACTTTAAAAGATGACTCTACCATTATTATAAGATATTGTTGGTATAAGTATAAACATTACAGCAGAATTAGAAGTTATTATTTATTTATTTCATTCCATTTAGGCACTGCCCAACTCCAAACCAGCTCTGGGTAGCTCACAATATACTAAGCAATTATTATATTAGTTATATTCTTGTTTGTATGGATCTCCACCATGCCCATGTCAATCTCCAATGGGTTTTGTCTTGACTTCTGCTAATGCACATTTCCATATCCATTCTGCTTGTCACTTTGGTGTCTAGAAGCAGGTCTCTGAGAATTGAGTTTGACTCATTTGGATAAATGCTTTGTTATAAACAGCAGGAAGATAAATATTTACCTGTAACACTGCACCCATATACCCTGAATGTGCTCCCTTCTCTCTTGTTTCAGCTAAAGCATTTGAAATAGAGGATATTGTGCCAGGTCACAAAGTTGTTGCACAAATTGGAGACCAGCTTATCCTAACTTGTCGTACAACTGGTTGTGAATCCCCGTACTTCTCCTGGAGAACCCAGTTAGACCATCCATTAGGCGGGAAACTGCACAATCAAGGAAACAGTTCGGTTTTAATTATACAGTCTGTTGAATTTAAACATGAGCATCAATATGTCTGCACTGCTGGTTGCAAGTCGGGTGAACCATCCAAAGAGAGAGCAGTCATGGTTGACATTTACTGTAAGTAACTAAACTGTAGTAGGATATAGGGTATTGAACTCTCACAACATACCTGAAGCTTCCACATATAATTTAAGTAGCTAATTGATACACAGACAGGAATTGTTCTCACTGATTCTGTCTTTGTTTTTGATATTTTTCTTAATGGCTATCTGTGTGAGAGGTGGTTTGGATGCTGAATATGGAAAGTGTAATGTCTCTTTTGTGGAAGTGGAAACTTACAAGACTTAATGTTGTAGGCATTTGAAAAACAAACAAAATGTATGTATTTAACAGAACTGAAGTGCACTGTCAGTCTGAATCCATAGAGACACGATACAACTGAGGCCAACCACAGTCATAATCTCAACCACTATAAGTAGGTTTATCCAACACTCTGGCCCAAGGCCAGGGGAGGAATTAGGTTTTCAAGGATTTATGAAAGGCAGGGAGAGTCAGGGCAATGGCCATTCATAGCTTGGTGTGTGTGTGTCCGCACATGCCAGGACAGAGAAAGCACATCTCTTAGATCCCATCAGATAACTCTGCTTAATAGAAGGGACCTTCAGCAGGCCAATCCTGACAGATCCTGTGAGACAGCCAGAAACAATTGGAGAGCTTGGAGAATATTTGTGCCCACTGTATTTGTGCCCATTGTAACTGAAATTCTGAAGCAGTCTTTCAGATAGTTATTTGCTAATAGTCCAGAGGGCCAGGTCCAAAGCCAATGTAAAATGTTGTGGAGGGACACACACAAAAAGGAAGACAGGCCAAGCCTTTCTCATACAGACCCCAATTAACCTGTCTTCCTTTCTGTGCGTGTCCCTTGTGCCTTTCTATAAAAATCTATAAAATCTGAAACTGAAAAAGAGTATATTTACTCTTAACTTAACCTGCAGAGTTCTAGAAGGAAAAAACAGCTCATTTTGCCAGTGCACTAAATTAAAATTGTTTACTGAAATTGGAGGGAGGGGGCAGAGTAGAATTGGGGGCAGGGTCTCCCTATTCTCCTCCCTGGTTATGGGTCTTCTGGGAGTGTTCATGTATTAAGATGCTGTGTAGAATGCTTGTCCAATTAGAGTTTACATATCGAGGAACAACACCCGTATGGAAAATCTTCTGCCATGACATTGGCTCAGATGCTGTCATCTGGGAAGCAGCTTGTATCCAAAATGTAAGAGGACTGAGTAGTTGTGAACAGAGAGCTTACAACGAAATTCCAGCTTGAGTTTAGCTGCTAACAACCTTCCCTCTGATATGATTTCTTTGTTTCTTCTTTTAGCGTTCCCCAGTAATCCTGTTATCGAGTTCAAAAGCCCTTTCATTCTTGGAGAACCAGCTTCTGTTACCTGTAGTGTTCCCAGTGTCTATCCTTCTGAGCAGCTGAAGATCACTTTGCTAAGAGGACAATTAACTACTGAAAAAGAGTTTTTTCAAGACCTTCATACACAATCATTACAGACAAAGAACTTGAAGATTGATTTTATTCCTACTGAGGAAGATTTTGGGAAAGAGATCATATGCATAGCTGAGCTACCAATAGAGGAAATGGCTTTGAAGCCAAAGCAGAGGCAGGCTACACACACGATGGAAATAAGTTGTAAGTATATTGATGGAATTAGGATTCAAGCACAGGTTATATTCATGTTAAGTTTGAAAGTCTGAAGAACATTAATTGTATCATCTAGGCTCCACATACTGGTTCTCAGGAGTGCCACACAACTATAATGGTCTTATTTATTCCTTTTTTGTTTTGGCTTTTGTGAAAGGACATTGGGTTGTCACGTCATAGCCTTTCCCAACTTGATGTTCTTTGGAGCTGTTGACACTGTAATGTCTCAAAATTTCCTAACTAGGATAGCCAATGCAGAGTTAAGAATTGTAAGATTTTTCCCATGATGGTCTAAACCATGCCATTTCCTGGCCTCTTTGTTTGGAATTGCAGGAATCAAAACGAACAGACAGAATTGATGTGGAGGCTTCTGAAATAATGATAGCGGGGGGGGGGGGGGGGGGCGGCACTGGTTACTGTTTTAGGGTCAATGTTGCCTCCCCTTGCAATAGGCTGACGTGGATTTAGGGGGATGTAAGAAGGAATCTTAAGACAAGTAAGGCAAGCCAGAGGGCTATGTTGAATGAGCAGTTCTGGTTTATGCTTTTATTTTGGAAGCTGCTTAAAGTACTTTCCACACCTGATTAATATTTATACTTTACTCTGAGCATTTTAACAGGGGAACAATCCATCAGCTAATAAACAGCTATGAAATTTTTGATGTTCACTGGATGATTCTCAAACACTTCCCCATTTGGGGCACTCACTGTGACTTGTAATTCACATTCTGCTAATTTAACTTTGCTATCCTTTGCTTTCTTTCAGATGGCCCACAGAATACTCATACCATGGCATTTCCAGGCAACACCATAGTAGAAGGGGAAGCACTAACACTTATCTGCCTGACTGAAAGTCATCCGCAGGCTAGTTTTGCCTGGAAGAAGCAGCTTGCTGATGGAATTACCCAGAATATTACAAAAAAGCACAATCTCTCCATCCCAAATCCTCAGGTCTCTGACTCTGGAATCTATATCTGTGAAGTCACCAATGAAGTTACCAGTAAAGTGGATAGAAAATCTCTGTACATTTCTATACAAGGTATAAAGCTCCTGCAAGAGAAAATATTTATTGGTCAGTCTGTTCTTATTCACAGAATACAAATTATAACAGATAAAAATCATTTGCAAACCAGAGTTTAGAATTCCTATATTTAATACACTGATAAGTTTTAAAATATTTGCTGTGAGTCATTTTGAGAGTCTTTAATAACAGTAATATACTACATAATGGGAGAGTGGGTGACCCTTAAGTCAATTTCTAAATGTTCTAGCTGCACCTGGAAAGATTATACCTTTTGTCAAGGGTGAGGATTAAGGCAGAGATGAAAAGACTTTCTTCCCTCAAGTGATTTCAGTATTAATACTCAGTATTCTGCAGCTAAAGTCTGAATGTCAAACATTTTACATTCAGATAAACAAAAAAACTAATACATAAGTTTTTTAATGTCAGATGCTTGAGTGTTCAGGTAGAAAATATTCAGTGTTAACACTCATGAATACTATCATTGAGTATTTTGATTTTTATATTTGTCAAGAATAGAATACTTTCTTTAAGCTATTATTAACTGAAGTACATATTTTTCATTTCTTTCTTTAGCTTCAGTCTTTTCACCAACTGTGCCAACATTAACTACTCCATCTGAAACAACGACATCCTTTACATCAGATACCCCATCAAAAACTACTACATCATTTACATCTCATGCAACATTGAAAACAATGATGTCCGTTACATCAAAAATAGCAGCACTGAAACCAATTACATCTTTTACATCACATACAGCACCAAAAATGATCACCTCTGTGACATCACATGCAGCACCAAAAATGATCACCTCTGTGACATCACATGGAGCACCGAAAATGATCACCTCTGTGACACCACATGCAGCACCGAAAATGATCACCTCTGTGACATCACATGCAGCACCGACTCTGTGACATCACATGCAGCACCGAAAAATAATACAGTTGTGTATCTGGTGGATGTTTCTGATGCTTACGGAAATAATACAGAACAGATCATAATAATTGGTATATAATTTTCTGCCTCTGAACCATATAACCATATTGCATTAATAACAGATTGCATAGCCTTAACACTTCATGCTTATTTGTGTACCAATCTCCAAAAGGCAACTGGGATCAATTCTTCCCTTCCCTTGCTAGGATTCCTGCTGTATTAAAAGACATTGCTTAGAAAGCAAACTAGTTGTTGTACAAAGAAAATATACAAAAGAGGAAAATAACGAAAAGGAAAAATGATCAGAAATGCAGTGTTTTTAGTGGATCCAATACTTCAGCCATTTCATTGTTCTCTTACACTTCCTTCACCCCATATTTCATTCTTTTCCTAACTAAAGTTGTTTAGCTCCCTATATTAATCTGTATGGTAGCTTTCCCCAACCTGACTGCCCTCTAGATATTTGAACTTTCATTCCCAGAATTCTCCAGACAGCATGGCTACTGTAGAGAATTCTGGGTGTTGAAATCCACACATTTGGAAACTTACAAGATTGAGGCAGGGTATCTTGTAAAATTTCCCCCCAAAATGTATACTTCTGTGAGTATTAGGACCCTCTGTCCATGAATGTGACATTTTAGCTATATAAACATTAGCATAAAGGGGACTGAAATCTGTAGTATTTGTGAACAGGAAGCCAGCCACAGAAGAGAAGAGAGGTGATGTTAAATCCAGAAGTAGATAAACATTTGCTAGTGAACCTTTAAGATAGCATTGCCAATGGCCATTGTTCTTATACTCAAATTTTTTTGTTTGTTTCATTTTCAGCTAGAGTTGAAGAGCTGGATTACATGACTCCTATAATCATCGTACTTTCTTGTTTAGCAACAGCAGCAGGTCCCATGGCTGCCATATTTATTTACATTTTTAGAAAGATGAAGATAAATGGATCCTACAGCCTTGCAAACTCATTGAAACCAATCATATAACTCCACTAACTAGAAGTAACTACACATTTTTGCAAATTTACCAACTGGATAATACTGGACCCTGCTCAGAATCTTTGGTGGTCTTTCTCATCACAACTCAATGTGGGAGGTATTGAGTTAATGTGCTTTGGAAAGGATGCAAACCAAAATTAAGCCTTTTCATGAAAACTAGTATCTTGGATTCAGATTTTGTCTCCACTCAGCCATAAAATTTGCTTTGTGACCTTGGGCTAATGTGTAGAGATGTCTCTAAACTATGCTTTTATTTTACAATATCAACTTTCACATGCAGTACAAGCCAAATGAAACCTTTCTTTTGGTAGTGCTGGACTAACTTTCAGGCTTATCTATCTACCTAACAACTTAGTTAGTTGAGAGAATAAAATGAAGTGCAACTTGGTGGGCTATCCAGAGATCCTTATAAGTAGAAGCAAGTCATATAATATGAACAGCTTAGCTGTGTGACTATAAAAAGAAGCAATACTTGCTAGCAGCAGGAAAGCTGTTTCTTTGTTTGCAAAATGCCTATACAGGTCCACGAAAAGTCTTTGTGCCACTCTTGGATCAGTTCACTACCTCTGTGATCTCCCACCACCTTTTTACTTCAACAACTTGCTTTGTTGAACTGCTTTGTTTCCATGCAAAGTGACATACTGCTTGGATATTTAACTTTATTTTCTTTATTGTTCTTGTATTGTGGTGTGCGGACCTGGTTGCTGCAGGCAGCTCCCAACAAAGCAGTGAACTTTGCTCTTTGTTCTAGAAGATGGATCATTTTCAAACTGTTTTTGACGGACTGGACAGTAGAAATGTTGATGATGTAAATATGCAGTAGAAAATATTAAGTCTTCCTTGTATATAATGTATAATATTCTGAACTTATGTGTTACACAGAGGTGGAATACAGTTGAGTAAATCCACAATAGTTGTATGCATTTTGTATATATGTGTTTTAGCCTGCAAGTAGCAGGTGCCAAATTATTCACTGCTACCTGTGAATAATTATATGATATTCTGAAGGTTTTCTTTTCAGAATGGGCTTAATCCAGGTGAAGCTAAGCATTTTAAAGACCTACTGATCTCAACAAGAGGGAGTTTTAAGAATGTATTTCATTCTTCTGTTGAGATTGGTTGAAAATTAAAAACTGCTTAACTTTGATGGAGAGGCTTCTTGCTGTATAAATAGATGCTCACCGCATCATGTTTGCAACACTACAAATACTGGGGAGGATAGAGTACATATAGAGTTTAAAAGTTCTACATGATAGTGTAAAATTCTCTGAGAAATATTAGGAAACTTGACAGAAGACAATGGTTCCCAGGAACTTTTAGGAAAGGGAAGTAACAGTAATTAAGCTGTATAACACTGACAGATGTTCATAGTATAGAAATGTCTCATTACTTTGTTCTATATGTCTAAATAAAATGGGTACAGTCTTACGCACATTTAGAGTAGAGTATGAGTCTCACTGTAGAGTTAGAACTCTACTTTGATGGATACAGTCAGCTATATTATAGAATAATTTGTACACTGTAAACAGAATTGTAATTTACTTTCTATTGCAAGGTTATAACCTTCTTTTTTTAAAAAAATGTCATGAGCCTCCCACCACTAGGTTCATGTTTTTGGTACTTTCACAGCTTGTACAGTATTATTTAAATTTGCTTGCAGCAATGGAATGTTCTGTGAAACTGAATGTTTATGTTTACATCTGTGATTTTTTTTTTTTTTTGGCTAGACAGTAAAATAGCCAAAATGCTGTAGTTAATCAATGTATGGTTGAATTGTAAATAAAAGTACTTTTCTGTATTTTCTAAGCATTGCTGGGTAAATCTTGATTTGCTTCATTATCACCAGTCAGCTAGAAACCCCTGGAATGTTCCTTCTCTCCCCAGAAAAAAGAGATAATAGTCAATGGCATAGATGTGGCCACGGGCATCTGCAGGGAGAACAAGAGGGGTCAAATGATGAAATGTGTAGTGACATCCTCATGCAAATGTGACTTGCACCATACATCTGAACATGAGTACATAAGGACATTTGCATGAGGATGTCAACATGTGTGTATTGTCATTTGAGCATTATTGGGGTTTGCTGCAGATGGTGCCGTTCATGTCTATGGTCTTACATCCTAGCAATTCGGTGATTATATCAGTGTCACTGCCATTATAAGCTAAGGACAGGTTTGAGGAATAGCAATGTGGAGTTAGGCTGGTGAATAGAAGGGGAATTACACACTCAGTAGAAGACCAGGAAATCCTCTTTTCAAGGAACAAAGTCACCTCAACCAGTATTGGGACATTATTAACTATTAGCAATTCTCAATGTAATGTTGTCATTTATTAAGAGGGGAGATCCACTTGGATTGTTTCTCTTGGGTACCAATATGTTATCTGAGGCCAACCCTAGTAATCATTCTGTTGCAAAAAGAGTAGGAAATCTTACACATTTTCTCATGACTGGCTGCTCTGCTGCAATGTCAGATTTTGAGTGATTGCTACTAGTCGAAACATAAAGGCAGATAAATAAAAGAACTGTACCATGTAAAAAACAGCAACAATTATTGTTCCACATAAATCCTTTCAGAAATCACATCTGTATGTATGTGTGTATATGATTAGGTACATCGTGTTTTGCTTTCAGGTTTTGTGGCTACTCCTACTAAGGAAATTCATATTGGAAAATTCTTATTGGAAAGTTCAGATATTCTCTTTTCATCTGGTTCTGAGCTGCATTTGTGTGAAGAAGAAAAACAGTAAATGGAAAATTCACACTGGGGAAGCTTCTTGGGGACTGGCAATGTAGGAACCTTCCAGTGTTGCACTGTAACATCTTTCTCCATTAGCATGTTGGCTAATGGGGACCAATGACATCTGGAAAGCCACATGTTGCCCAATTCTATACAGAGCTTCTAATGTACAACTGCCCAATCTTTCTGGCAGAATTTAACAAGGGTCTAGATATCATCGTATTTCATTTGCAAGTCTCCCATGATTCCTACTATTTCTTCCATTTTTTTTTAACCAAACAAAAATCTGTTATGTAAAAATATATATGAAAGAATAATGACTGGTAGTATCAATAGCCATCTTTCTGAAAGCATCCTGATATATGGTGACCGTGTTTTGTATGAAATAAAAGATTGCATACTTTTTATAATATGATTTTCTTAAGAGTCCTGATGTAAAATGCCCTTGCTTCTCTGCTCCCTAGCCCATGTAATCAGTGCATGGTTCGGTCATATGAACTCCCCAAATGGGATCAATTGAGTAAATGTGTTGTACAAACACAGTCCTTGATTAGTGGGAAAAACATTACAGCATTACAATATCAGTGGGAGAGAGACAGTCACAGTGCAGTGCCTTTTAAGTGTGCAAGGAAGCACACATGAAAGTGACTCATCCAGTTCAGGTACTTGACATGTCAGTCAAGGCTGTTAACTAATCGGTTAAAGTATTGTCCTAAGAGTTCTGTAGTTTTGGTTTTCTCACATACTCTTGCTTATTGAGCTACTGATGTCGATAGCCAAAAGCAATTGAGAAAAGATTGTATCAGTACAGACTGATATGAGAAGGGGGGATCATTTGGGCATTCTGTCCCCTCACCTCTCAAGGTCTTCAAAAACTAACTGTCCCTAGTCAACAAATTGACTATGAGTCCAATGAGAACTTCGTTGGAGAGAAGAATGGACCCAGTGGTGCCACTCTTGCAGCTTCCACAGTGCCCAGGACATTGTTTTGCTGCCTATGAGTAAGGATTTAATATTTCCTATATGTTGATGCTGAGTATCAAACATTTGCCAACATTTACAGAATATGTGTTCCTCTAGGAGCTATTCAAAGAAAAGGTGTCAGCAAAACTCAAAGAGGAAAAATGTGAGGAGGAAGGTAACCGTCTAGGTTTTTACTATTTGACGGTGATAATACCTTTATTCTCCATAAAGATGAGTTCAATCCTTTGCTCCTTAGTACTTTCTCCACATTTTACTAAAACCTCTATAAACCTCAGTAGATTTATCAGTGCATTCAGGAAAGCTATTTTTGGTGTCATTGTGAGATGTTCTTTTGCAATACAGTCAGGAGGCAGTTACTGGAAGGCAAGTTCTGGTTAAATGTTAAAAAATATCTTCCTAAGTCAACAAGCAATTTGACAGTGGAACTAATTACCCAGTGATGTGGTGGATTTCCCTTCTCTGGATGCATTCAAAACTATACGGACAACCTCCTGTCAGAAGTGCTTTAATTTGGATTCTTCCACTGAGAAGAAAATTGGACTCTAATGGTCTAAACGACCCATTCCAACACAGTCTAAAACCCATCAGCTTCTCTGTGCAGTGTGCAAGTGGCCACAAACAGTGGCACACAACAGGTTTGCATTACCCCAGCCCTGTCACAAATGGCATATAGTGAGCAACTGGCCTATAGAGGTATCTTCCACTTTATTGGAATACATCCTTATTAAGATCTGATTAAGATCAGGTTGGTCTTGGGCAACTTTGGGGTGGAGGAGTCAATGCAGCAAATCTTCACTGTTGCTGATGCCCAGCTTTGCCACATAGGAGAAGTACCTATGTGGGTCCTTCTTGTATCTTTTGGAAGAAGAGACATACCTGCACCCCAGTTATTATAAGCCAGATCTGTGTATATGATAGAAGAGCCCCTGTTTTGCTCATCCTGTGTACATGATAACATGGCATCAGGAGTGAAGAAATAACAATTCTGTAGTTCCCAAGAAAAGATGAGACTACATTCCAAGAACTTCTAAACAAAAAATTATTTAATGTATGTATGGGATATATCAGAAACTGCAGAAAATTCATCACTACAGCCGTAGCAGAAGAGAAGCTTTGCATCCTTTACTTACCAACTGAAGAAGGGTTATAGGTTCATCTTGAAATTGTAAGAACTTATGGTGTCAAGATTTTGCTTTAATTCAATCATTGATACCTTTTTTCTCTTATTTCTCGTTCAAATTTCATTTTATTGCTAATGCTGTAGATGTCATCTATGATCAAAAAGAAAAGTAATATTCTACCACCTTTGCCTTACCACAGCCTCTCTACTATTGACACCATGAGTTCTAGAACTTCTGAATCACCTTGAAATATGTAAAGGGCTGCCACAGAGATGGTAAAGCAAATTGGTTTTCTGCTCTACAGCATGGAATTTGGATTCAGATTAAATCACTGGAATCTATATACTACTAAAACTCTCATGTCTGTAACCTTCAACTGGGCAAAATAATGCATCATAAGCCAACAATTTTGGAATCAAGATACCTCAAATGGGCTAACTTGCAGAATGTGTCCAAAATCTGGGACCCATGAATTCCATGGGACTAAAATTTGGGAAATTTGTGGCCACTTTAGCACTGCTTTGCTGCTGTGCTACCGCGGTCAGCCAAGCTCACATGATCATCATGGGCATATCCCTAACCTCTTTCCTGCCTCCCTCTGTCCCCTGCGCCCAAACGACTGGCAGCAAGGCCTGATGGGCGAGCAGTGATTGGCTGCTTTCGAAATGAGGCAGAAATTTGAAATCTCTTAATGGCAGTGAGCATTGAGGGAAGGATGAGGGAGCAACAGATGCCTGCCAGCAAAGTAGGGCTGGCTGGCTGGAGGGCACTGGTGGTCCACGGGTGAGCCCTCTTCCTCCCTCAAGGGAGTGGCCCCTTCAGAACATGGCTGAATGGGGAGCAGGGGTGCAGTTCTCCATGGCTCCCTTTATTCTACCTCCCCCCAGCAAAGTGGTAGGTAGTTCTGCTGGTCAACTGAGGAGGAGGAGGAGGCTTCATGGGGGCTCTCCTGAGGGTTGTGAGGGAAGGGCAAATGGTGGGAGGGAGGGAGGGAGGGAAGATTTCTGACACTTCCTGCCAGCTTCCCACAAGCAATATCAATGGGGAAGCCATCAGCAAGTCATAGGTTGCTCACACTCCAGCTGCTTTTTTGCCCTTGGTCAAATATCTCTGAAATTGTGATCCAACAGGCTTGTCTAGTTCAACTTAAAGTTAGGGAGAACTCACTGATAGTGTGACCAGTTAGTGAACAGGTTGCCTCAGAAGCTGATGGACTGTCCTTTGCTAAAGGTTTTTAAACAGAGGCTGGTCAGCTATCTGTCAGGGATCCTGCAGCTGCAAATTGTTCGTATTAAAAGGAGTTGAAGTAGACTTTCAAAGTCCCTTCCTGTTCTATGAGCATAATTACTTAATTTCAAAGCCCTTATAGGAGCAGCTGGGGTGCTTTAAACTGCCCACTTTCAGATACCTTCAGATCCAGTATGTCCTTATAGCTTGATCAGCTAATTTCAAGAACTTGCTTTATTGATGACTTAACTGACCTCTGGGAATGTGTTAATATGTTAATATTTTAACTTAATAATATGTTCATGTCAGCTTTTAAGAATATCATGGCTCTGCTTTCCTAGACCAAAACCCAAAGGTATTAATTAGAGAATTGTATGAGTTCTCTTTGCATAGTTACTTACACTGTTATTTTTCAGCCTTCAGGTTTTCCTTCTTCCTCCTACAAACTTCCCTTGAAATTGCCCTCCCAGCTCGTGAGTGAAAGCCTTGGCCCCTGAAGTGAAGAAAACCAGAAGATGGAAATTTGAGTAACTTTTCAACACCAGCCTGATGGGCTGGATTTTCCAGATAACCTGTTGAATGAAGAGAATGCAGTATGGAGAAACCTGTTCTGCCTCTCTGCACGCTATCAGTCGAGTGCTAGCAGATTGAAGTTCACCATGGTGAAAGTTTGAAATATATAAGTGAAGTTGTCCGTAGTGGTGCTATGCACTTGTGATTTATAATAA